TCAAATTGCTAACTGGTGTAGCTGATGCAGTCCAGCAGCATCTAGTTGAAAAGAAGCTCTTTCCATCTGAGCACAAAGGAAACCGCCCAAACAGCAGAGGGACAAAGATCAGTTCCTTGACAAGATGATTCTGGAAAACTGTAAGACAAGGAAGACCAACTTGAATGTAGCTTGGATTGATTACAAGAAGGCATTCGACTCCCTGCCACGTGATTGGATAATCAAGTGCCGAGAAATAACAGGAGCCAGAAGCTTTGTGCAAAGATCAGTGGCACAGTGGAAGACACAGTTGCTGGTCAATGGTGATAGACTTGGAGAGGTTAACATCGAGAGAAATCTTTCAAGGAGACTCACTATCACCACTACTGTTTGTCATTGCATTGATTCCTCTGTCAACAATACTGAACAAGTCAGGCCATGGCTATCAAACATCAAAAACATCTGCCAGGTTATCCCACCTCCTTTACATGGACAATCTGAAGCTGTATGGAAAAACACCATTTGAAATGGAATACTGAACAAGTCAGGCCATGGCTATCAAACATCAAAAACATCTGCCAGGTTATCCCACCTCCTTTACATGGACAATCTGAAGCTGTATGGAAAAACACCATTTGAAATGGAATAGCTGCTCAACACTGTCCAAATATACAGCCAGGATAATGCGGTGGAGTTTGCACATGTGCCACCCTTACCATCAACAGAGGAAAAATAGTGAAAAGTGAAGGCATCAAGATGCCCAGTGGAAATAACATCAAGAGTCTGGATGAAGAAGATCACTATAAATACCTGGGCATCCTTCAGGCTGACAATATCAAGCACACTGAAGTCAAGAAGAAAGTTAGTAGTGAATACATAAGATGAAGAAGATGTTAGAGTCCAAACTCAGTGGAGGAAATACCATCAAGGCAATTAACACCTGGGCAGTTCCAGTCATTAGATATGATTCTGGGCTAGACTCAAGCTGAACTAAAAGCACTGGATAGGAAAACCAGAAATATAATGACAATGAATCATGACCTCCATCCATGCAGCGATGTTGACAGACTCTACTTACCAAGGAGCATAGGTGGGCATGGAACGTTACAAGTACATGAGACAGTTGAAGAAAAAAGGGCATTGGAAGAATATCTGAAGGACAGTGAAGAAGATGCACTGAAGCTAGTACACCATGAAGGCTTACTGAATACCAAAGAAACCAAACTGGCCTATAGTAAAGACCAAATAACAGCAAGACCTATCCAGTGCTTTTA